GAAGTTTCCTCTACTCATATGAAGCCAGGAACAACAGCAACATTTAACAAAGATAATGTCATAACCGACAAATACAACATGCTAATGTTGTTAGCATACGCCAATGATATTTTGAGGGTTCCCACGTATTGTCATGGACAAAATTTCAAGACTTTTCAAAGACCCATAATATTGTGTAATTTTTTTCTTGCCCCATTTATGCAGCACTTTTAAACTCATCAGATCCAAACTCTATTAAAACAGTTTCAGTTAGCTTGCATACATGAAGGGAGAGATGACACATAGTGAGAAAACGTTACACAAAATAAATTCACGTTACTTGGACATTATTGTGATGATTTCATTACAAGCAACAAAATTCCATTGCTTTTCCAAAACTTTCAATGAGTTTTACCAAGTCCATGACTTTTCCAAGTCTGGAAAATGTAAATGTGAAATTCCAGATTTTCCATGACTGTGGGAACCCTGTATTTCACATTGTATAAATTAGCCTAGTGGCTAGCAGACTTTTCCTCTTCACATATGAAGCCAGGGACAACAGCAACATTTAACAAAGGAAACGTTACAAAATTCGGCTCCATTACAACTCACAAGGTTAACTGACAAAACAACTGTCTTATACTTAACAAGTTTTACAAACAAATACAACATGCTATCATTATTAGCACAAGCCTGTGGCATTTTACATTGTATAAATTAGCCTAGCAGCTAGCAGACTTTTCCTCTTCACATATGAAGCCAGGGACAACAGCAGCATTTAACAAAGGTAACGTTATAAAATTCGGCTCCATTACAACTCACAAGGTTCACTGACAAAACAACTGTCTTATACTAAACACGTTTTCCAAACAAATACAACATGCTATCATTATTAGCACAAACCTACAACATTTCCTGTTGCATAAATTAGCTTAGCAGCTAGCGGACTTTTCCTCTGCTCATATGAAGCCAGGATAAATCACACACAAGAATTAAAATGCTATTTTGCGGGGGTTTTATTGTCTTCACAATTTATTCCTCATTGTCTTAAAGTAAATTAAAGCTATGTTTTGACTGAGGGAAGTGGTTTACAAAAACATTTAGGAGATCTGTGTTGCTGCGATGTGTAGACATTTCTGGGGAGGTGCACGTCAGGCACTGAAGGTAGGACGTAGTTTCAGCACAGACGTATAAACGACGCTGTATAGATGACACGTACGTGAACAGAATAACAAAAGACAAATTGTAAGTAGTTGCAAATCCATTTATAAATTCATTTATTCTCAAAGGACAAAAATCAAACTATTAATTGGTGAATGTTGAAACTTTTTTTATTGATGGTTTTTAGCAACTACACCATCAATCATGTGTAAATTTAATTACTTTATCCAGTGTCACTTAAACGCAGCAGTTCATTATTAAAATAAGCAGTGTATTATTCTCTTGGCACACTCGAGACTCCGTAGTTTCACAGTTGTAGTTTAAATTAGATCAAAGTTGTTGTGTGAACTAATTTATATTTTTATTCACATTATGAAGGTGAGACACTTGTGGTACACAGACATAAAGGTAGGAAAGATAAAGTTAGTTTTATTAGCCCAAATGTCAGGTTATGATGCACTGCAGATGTTTGGTTGCTTGTCTTTATAATTTATCATTTTGTGTATATTTTGTTTGATTTGCTTCGGAGCTGAAATGTTTTCTAATGAAAATCTGTAGCTTTTGGAGTGGATAAGATTTAAACATCGACACTGAGGACGTATGCTGTTGATAATAGGGGCGATACAGAGTCATGTATAAACCACATATTGATACCTTGTTAGGGATATTGTGAAGCTGTTTACTGTACGGAGGTGAATAAAGGTTTTCTTTTTCTTTAAAATCTCATTTTGTTCATTATGTTTGACAAGACAGACGATTCGTTTTCACATTGAAGGAACAATTTCAGATTTATTCACAAAACAAGGCTCCACAGTTTGTGATTTGACATAAAAAAAAAAAGCTTTTGCACAGTGTGAAAGAGCAAATGCAGCGTTTGATTACAGACAGACAACAACGAAGCAGTGAGAAATTTGTCAAAGGGAATATTTGGAGAGGGATTCCTCTGGCCTCGAACAACAGGCAGGTCTTTTAAAAAAGCCTGATTTCTAAAGGTAATGTGGCGGCAACAGAAATGAGGAAAGTAAAGATCCTGCTGAGTGTTGGGACTCAAACATGAAGCTATGACTGACAACGTGAAAAATATACAAATACAGTTGTTTTTATTTAGGTAACAATGCCTGACAACATTTTGCGATCAATATTTTGGGATGTTAAGAGCGTCACGATGACTGACAAACAAACACAGGCATTTACTCCTTCATAGAAATCATCGTCTCGTTACACTGCTCCCATCCTGATCAACTGATTCTGACTACAGATCATTACAAATGCCCATAAAATAAAACCATACCTGGCTCTACAAGTAGTTTGGATCTGGAAGCTGCTCAACAGAACAAAAACGTGACAACCAATGTGTCTAACGAATCAGAAACAAGCTTTTCACCTGACATTCAGAGCCAGCTGAGCTTAATGTCTCTGTCTTAAAAAGCAATAGTTAACAGCTGTTTAGTTCCTTGTTGATATATATTTATAATCCTTCTCCTTCACCTGACAGGTTTCCATAAAGTGCACGTCAGATTCTGGTCCCCTTTTACGTCAGTATCAAACACACATAACAGCACATCATCATCATTAACAGCCATGAAAGTGGCCTCAGGACTGTTTAACAGAAACAACAGTGACCCCTTCTGGAGAAATGTGCTACACCTGATTTCACAAACCTCCCCATAAAAAACAAAACAGTAATTTCCACTTAAAATAAACTGATTTGTTCTGATGTTAAAGGGATAGTTTTGATCTTTTAAGAGGGGTTGTATGAGGTACCTATACACAGTCAGTGTGTTAGACACAGTAGATGTAGGTCAGCATGCCCCCAGTTTGGAGAAGCAGACAGGAGCCTAAAATAACCTAAACTTAAATTATCTATAACCGAGAAAGTGCGCGCTATATTGAGATTATTTTCACTGCTTAACTTTAATGTCAGACAGCCTGTTCCGACTGCTTCAGTTCCCTATATATGCTCTCCTCAAAGCCAGACTCCATTGACAAAATCAGTAATTTAAGCTCGCTGGACACAGGAGCTGCTGGTCTACTGCTGCTTTGATAAATTGGTTTGTTTGTGTTATTGTGTGATTCCAGCAAGCCCAAACTAATCCTTTAAAATGCCAAAGTCACACAATAACACAAACTAACTGACTGCTCCAGGCAACAGCAGCTCCTGTGTTCAGTGAGCTTAAATTACTGCTTTTGTCAGTGGAGTCTGGCTTTGAAGAGAGCGATACAAGGGCTTCATTTTCCCACTGGAAATCAGTCTGACATCAAGTATAGTGTACACTTACTGTGATACTGATTTTTTTTCTTTTAGGTGGCTAAAAATTAAGTAAAAAAGTCAAAATTATTTACATAACGCTTTTCGCAGACACAGGTCACAAAGTGCTTCACAAGAGCATTATACAACAAGAAAGAAATCATAGAGACAAAGTGACGACATTAGCCATGTAGTGAAAAGTGCACAGCTAGCAAAACTATTTGCACACACACAAGAAAAAGAAGAATTCACCCTACGCAACAATACACGATATTTTAAAAAGTACAGATCTGGCACAGACCCAAACGCCTGTCTGAACAGGTGCGTCTTCAGCTGGCTTTTAAAAGAAACCACAGTGTCAGCAAAGCTCGATGACCACGGGTCTTAAGGCGAGTGCGAGGGAAAGATAACAAATTTATCTGATTAATTACGTGAGCTGAAGAACGCAGGTGAAGTGTTTCAGCTACATTAGAGGGAGCTTGACTGTGTGATGCTCTGTAAGTAAGTAAGTCTGTAAAATTGTCGGCCCCCTTCATGGCAGTACATTGCTTTCCATGTGCAGACTTCTCCAAACTGAAGGTGTGCCCACTGACATCTGTGGAACGTAACATACTGTCTATGGATAAGTACCTCATACAACCCCGGTTAAAAATCTGAACGATCCTTGGGTCCTTGACTTTTTAAAGACAGAACTTGCAAGAAAACCTAAAGTCATTATCACTGAAACTAAAAATCAATATCCATGCACATTCAGCCTTTTTCTACATTTAAATAAACAGTTTTGGGGCTCATTAAGTTCACAGTCAGTAGAAACAAAAGAAGCATTGTGACAGTAACTGAAAAGATGAGGTTACATTCCAGTGGGTAGTACACACAAATATCTAAATCAAAATATTGATTAGTAAATAGTGCAAGTTTCATGGCCGTACCCATTCAGTAAAATGTTTAAAGCGCCAACACTAAAGACTTGAACTCGATCTGCTAACAGGTCAACTGCAACATTTATACAGGAGACAAAACTAAACTCCAGCCGTCAGTTCTCATGTATTTTTCCTGCAATGTGTCTGAACGCGCTCGGCAGATTTTCTCTGGGGAACACGAGGTTAAAAAATAAATGAAGGCTCAAGTAAAACCAAACCAGTTGGACGGACTCTTTGTCTCACATCTTCACTGAACTATAATTATCAAACCTGTTCTTCTGTTCTACTCAACAGTGAAAACAGAAAACTGGGTCATATTGAATCAAAGTGGGAGACCGTCATTTCAAACCGAGCTTTTTAGTGCTTGAAGATGATTGATGATTATTCGCTAATCAAAACTAGCATTAGTATATTCTTCCAAGTTATTGTTTAAGGGGTGAGTTTAGTATTTTTCAACCTGGACCTTTTTTTCATGTTTTAAAGCCACAAATGGGAACAATCATTTTTGAAACTGGCCCAGTATTGAGCCAGACTGATGCAGCCGGCAGTGAAGAAATTGAAGTGTTTGTTTTTGCCACTGACAGGCTCAGATTGTCATTAGAAGTGTCTAAGATCCTTTTTGTTAAACCAGAAACGGCCCCAAAATCACCATCATCAATTCTACCAGACTCCATTAAAATAAACAGTAATTGTAGTGTGTGCAGTGGCAGCATGTTTTCACATTTAACTGGGTGAATTAAGGGTTTATTTCAAACAAATCAAACGTATAATTAAACATAATTGAGCCATTACTGAGATGATTCTTTTTTGAGTAAAGTCTTTCCTGAACCCATTATTTTTTCTTTTAGACACGCCCCTACTCTTTTTCTACATAGGCCGTACATAAAGACGCCTGAGGACGCCTTGTTGAGCATAAATATGCCATTAGAACAAAAAATCGTAACTACCCCATGGCTACACATGGCTACACATGGCTACACATGGCTACACATGGCTACGCACTTCAGTGAATCTTATAATGCTAATGATTCCTTATTACGCATAGAGGGCATTGAGCTCAGTAGAAGGATGCTGAGGTTGGAACTGCCAGGCAAGAGGCCTCGAGGAAGACCAAAGAGGAGATTTATGGATGTGGTGAAAGAGGACATGAAGTCGGATGCATCGTGGAATGCTTGACTAGATAATCGTAATTGAGTTGTGAGGCCGTTGAAGATGCACAGCCCTAGTGCCTGGATTGCCTTCCTGTCGATAAAGTTTGTGATTGTTGTGCGAGTGTGAGAACGTGAACCAAGATGGTTTTTGTGAGTTTTATTTTGTTTCTTTCGACTTTGAATGAAGTGTGTTTAACAATGATAATTACTGTTTTTTTAAATGAAGTCTGGTGGGTTTGGCTATAGCAATTTTTGGGCTGTTTCTTAAACACAAGAGTCTTATTCTTTAACAAGAGGTCGACCTCTGTACTGATCCTTTCCATAATGGTGTCAGACACTTAAAATAACAATCTGAGCCTGTCAGTGACAAAACAAGCACTTTTAGTGGACGTAAATTAATGGTGCGAACACCCCGAATAGTTAGATTGCAGCCTTTTTTTTTTCCACAGCTGCAGCAGCCTTACTCAATATTGGACCAGTTTACAAAATTGTTGTTCCTATCAGTCACTTGGATACAAAAACATGGGCAAATGTGGTCCAGGTTGAAAAATGCCGAATGTACCCTTTAAAGAAATGAAATGAATGGATAGGCTTTGGCGGTCAGCATCCTTCACCACTCTGGTTCACTTCATTACTTCGCCTTCAACATGTGAGATCACGTCTAATCCCATTTTGCACTGATTCCTTCACAAGATTTGAACCAGTTTAAATTAAAAGATCACCATCTTCTTCTCCACGTGATTCCTAATTCACTCTCTCTCAGTAACTCTTTCAGAGACCAAGCATCTTAGCAATAATGCCTCGCTGCTCTGTCAGTTAGCTCGATTTCCTGCGGCCACCTCCCCTCTAACCTAGCTAGGTAACTAAAGCGTTGAATGGCACTCTTGTCTCGTCATCTTCGTCCTCTATGACCCCCCTCTGGTTGGGCCTGTCGGGACAGAAGATTAGCCGTAGCAGCGCCATCCCGACACGCACCAACAGCCTCAGCGCAAGGAAAGCAAAAGGCACCGTGATCTCCATCAGGTGGAAAATGGAGGCGCTAAATTTACTCAAAATACATGTGAGGAAAAACGTCCCCAGAGCAACGCAGGGGTACAGAGCTAGCTTAGCTAGCATAAACACATGCTCGCGTCCGCCATATCGAACATAAGGGTGCAGAGTTTCCTGTTCGTTGTAAAGTGCGACCACCCAAATGGCGAGCTGAAATATTCCTGCGAAGAAAATGATCACACAGCTGATCTGAATGGCTTCCAGTTCATTGCGAGAGTTGCGCGGGAATTCGTGCGTTAGCTGGTAAGCTAACGGCAAACCTCCGATAAACGCCAGCGAGAAGGTGTTCAGCAGGCCCATGAAGCGCGTTGCCTTGGTGACGTGGAGGAAGAGCGAGTGGTGCACAAACCAGAGAAGGCCGACGGTGGCGAAGGAACCAAAGTAGGCGAGGTACTCCGGGCCGTAGTCTTGAAGCGCTGCTATCAGGCTGCCGCCATACTGCGTCTGGACAGTGGTCTGGTCTGGAACATTGTCCTCGCTAACAGGAAGGAACCAGAGAGGATAAAGGTGAGGAGGTTTTCAAGCAAACTTTTGCAACACTATTAATGACAATTCATCCAGAATGGTTTTGTTTTCGACAATTTAAAAGCAGCTTTAAAGATGGAACGTAGTCAGGTAGTTTTACATAACGCAGGTATAACTGGTGCATAAATCCAGTGAATGCAACATGTGCATAGGATCCATATCGTGCAGAAGATTCTCTTTATAGCACGTCGGTTGCATTTAAAGGTCCAGTGTGAAGGATTTAGGGGCAAATATATGGGCAGAAATGGAATATAACATTGGAAATACATTTATAATCACCTGAAAATAAGAATTGTCGTATTTTTGATACCTTAGAATGAGCCGTTAGTATCTACATAAGGAGCGGATCTTCCCACAGAAAAGGTGGGATCTATAAAAACAGACTTGATGGGAGAAACTTTGACCCATGCTTACGAACATTTTGGAGACAGGAAATTGGCGACTGAGGAGGTGGAGGACTAATTGTGGAAACTGTTGAATATTATTTGGCGCACACCATTTTTGGCTTTTCTCTGTACATACATTCCTAGTGTGGATCCTAAGCATTGTTTTATAAATGAGACCCCTGGTTCAGTTGTTTTGGAGACTCAGAGACCTCTGCAGATAATTCAGCTTCTGCTAAAAACCTCCTGAACAATAAATTCTACCCAGTAGCTCACGCTTGGCGCTCAGGGGGAAGTTTCAGCTGGTTGCAATCTTCATCCTCACCACTAGATGCCACTAAATCCTACACACTGCTCCTTTAATGTGATCATGGTGACATCAGATTCATAGTGCCTGCGTTTGTGTCTGACCTCTTCTTTATACACAATATATTTGCATTTATGTATGTTATATTGAAATGGATTTGTACTCTGTCTTCCCACTTAAGGAGATAAAGTAAAACACACCATATGTCCAGGATGAGAAGCGTTGCTACGATGGCGTAAACTCCATCGCTGAAAGCCTCCACTCGGTCCTTGCTGAGTGGCTCGTTGGGCAGGTACGTGTAAAACAACATGGAGTCTGGAGTCTCCTCCACCTGACCTGAAAGGAATAAGATTTAGTTTATGTTTTAAGAAGGTGTCACTCTAACACAAATAGACGATGAAGTACATGTGGCCAGAGGTGATACGTTTCTTCTTCTCATCACGATAAAATCTCACGCTCACCAATTGCTTTACTGCGACACCACTTCACAGACTGGGAGATATACGGCAGGAAGATGACGATCGCCAACAGCACGTACGACTGAAAGACAGAATGAAAGCTTTACTACAAAGAATAGATTTACAGCAGCATCAGTAAACTTGATTGATTAAGCTACAATCCCAATCATTTGCTTGTTCCAGCTTCTCAAATGTGATGATTTGTCTGCGTTTTACAACACTCTAAGTTGAATATCTTTGAGTTTTAGACTGCTGGTCGGACAAAACAAGAACTTTAAAGCCGCCACACTGGACTCCGGGGCCTGGTGATGGGCATTTTTGCACAATATTTTTTAGATTAATCAGGGTGTTAATGTACAATAAAGTCCTAAAACATATTACAAGATGAACAGATCTCTCACAACAGTCGATATGAAACATACTGCCACCTACCAGCTGGAAGAAGATGAAGGAGAAGATGCTGGCGAAGAAGCACATGAGGGGAACCCGCATGATGACTTTGAGGATGTGGTGTTTGTAGAAGGTTTGGTTCTCTGAGATCTGGATCTGCTCGTTCAGCAGGAAGGGACGGCTGAAGGCGTACAGCACAATCACCGACTACGGAAACAAAATGTAAGATTATGACACAAGCCAAACTCCTAAATGCGACTGAATGTTAAAGGTCCAGTGTGTAGGATTTACAGTAGGGGCAACTATTGGCAGAGATGGTGTATAATAAACTGTAATGTTATAAGTGAAGCTGCATCTTATCTTCAAGGTGACCCTTTTTCTCCAGAGGGACTAGAAGGACTAAAACACTCGGAAGCTGCTGACCTGAATAATGCCCATCACCATCACACAGCCACAGAAGAGTAAAATCCCCAGGACGTTCTCAGGGAAGTTGGCCATCAGAGCGAACTGCAAACACACAACACACATTAACATGACGGAGCTTGAATGACATCAGTCGACTTAACATTTATCTGTGCAAACACTGTGATTGATTCAGCTGCTGCGGGGACTCATACTCACTGTGTAGGGCAGGAAGGTTATCAGCATCATGCAGGCCTGAGAGAGAACCGAAAGTAGAACGTCACATTAGAGGGAAGGAAACGTGCTCACAGTCTCATTCAGTAGTTAAGTATTTATAGTATGACAGCAGCGAAACTGTGGCTCTGCTTTCTCTCAGCAGTGAGAACTGACTCTAATATCACTTACATATTGAGTATGGAAATCAGTTGCCAACATGCACTGTTGTTTCTTTGACAGATATTGTGTTTGTCTCTGAAATCCAACCTTAAATGTTTAGTATTTGCACAATAACACTTGCTGAAATTGGATTTTAAACCAACTGGTCAATCAAAGTTAACAAAGAAGCCGACCACAGCTTACTAAACTGCATAAACTGTAAATCAGAGACGATAAAAGGTAAATAAAAATCAATTTACAGGGACACGGTGAGCTGTGTTGATCAAAACTAAAGCCAGAAAAAGTAATGTCTAACACTGGTCGGAGCTCCATACAGTATTTAAACATAAAATATAACCACCTAGAGATGCATGTCATATGATCAAAACTAGACGTTATTTAAGTCACATTAGCTCACTTATTAGGTACAGGCTTACTAATCTGCCTTAATTAAATATCCAAGATAATTATTACTTAAAGAAAGACTTCAATTAACACCGTACAAATAATGATAGTGTGTCATTAAAGACATAGTGATCTCATTAATAACTGTACTCACGAGGTTCAGCAGTGCCAGGCAGTCATCGATGCGAACAATTACTTGAAATAACCTGTGAAATTCAACACAAAGAAAGAGCAAGAGGTGAATCATCTGCAGGTAAGCATCTCTTACCTGTAGTGCTATTTATCAGTCTAGATTGTTTTGGTGTGAGTTGCAGAGTGTTGGAGATATCAGCTGTAGAGATGTCTGCCTTCTCTCAAATATAACGGAACAAGATAACACTCAGCTTGTGGTGCCAAAAAATACTTATGAAAACTCAACAGCAAATGGCTGCAGTTACATGACGGCTTCTCATTCAGAATGAAATAAATCTGAATGAAATCATTCGGAATTAAAGTCTTTCCAGGTAGTTCACATGGGACATATTAATTCCGAATCAGGGTTTACACGGAGATCAGTTTAATCGCCTTTATTCGGGTCCACGCAAGGTTTGGGTCAGGGAGGGTTTCTGATTGGACAGGGGGCGGGGCGCATGTTACATGTTTACGTTTACCGGAAGAAAACACCGTAGTCCTCGCTCTGGAGGAGAAGGGAGGTAGAAGGTCGAAGAAGAGAGACAGAAGACCGTGCTTTGGCGTATGGAAACTGGTGAGTGCAACGAGTCCGACTGCTCTATCTCAGCCCGTTGCTATGCGCGCTATATACGTCATCGCACCAGAAGGGCAAGGAAACGAGCATGCGCAGAAAGACTGGAATGAACCTAAAGAGGAATGAACGTTTACATGCACACAAAATTCTGTCATTCGGAATTAGAAACGGAATATTCCAGCCCTCTACATCGGATTGAATTTTCAATCACATTGGCCATTTCCATTCCGAATTAGGTGTTTACAAGATCACTTTTAATAGGAATGAACTTTCATTCTGAATGAAAATGGAATTAAACTGTCCATGTAAACGCACTCAATGTCTCTTTCCAGAAATCATGACCTGGTTACTCAAGATAATCCACAGACCTTATTGTGAGCAGCTTCATGCAGGAACTATTTTCTTTCTACCGAACTAGACCTGCCAAACATATCACCACGCAGAAGGAAGTGTGCATCTACTCATAATCGAGAGGCTTGTGCTCATGACAGTGTTAGATGTAAACATTAATGGCGTCCTCCTCGGCTGAGCTGTAATGTTAGCTAGCTCGGTAGTGCAAGGTGAGCTAACGGAGGATGAATGAGTGCCATCTAGTTCCATTATATTAAAGAGAAGGCAGACATCTCTACAGCCGATATCTCCAACACTCTGCAACTCTCACCAAAACAATCTAGATTGGTAAACAGCACTACAGGTGAGAGGAAGAATATGTGTGTTTGATTGTGGGGTGAACTGTCCCTTTAAAACTGCTGTTCTACTACTAATATAATATCAGTAATGACTCACCTGATGTGAGCGGCCCACGCTACAGTCACAATCAGGAATGTCATTAAGTAAACAGCGATCTTTGTCGTCAGCAGCAGCTGAACACTCTCCCTCAACTCCTGAAACACAAACAGATTTATTACATGTCGCCTGTTGTTGTTGTTATTACATCACTACATTGGTTCAAAGTTTATCTGGTGCACTCAACAGTGAAGTGAATATACCTCGTTGTGTCGGCTTTATAGAAAGACAGTTACTGTTACCTCATTATCCTCCATCTTTGTGTGAGCGACAGGTAAAATCTGTGGATAATGAAAGCAGCATTAGGAGAGGTATCATATGTTCACAGACAGGAACATCATACTGCAGAGACCACCTGATTATGAATACTACCATGGGTAATTTAAACCACAAACATCCCATTTCTTTTTGGATTTGGAAAAATTCTGTCACAAGTGGAAAGTATATTATTAAATGGAGACTAAAGCATGCTAACTGCTGTATATGAAAAGACTGGACCATCTTCCTTAAGCTGCTGCTGCTGCTGCTGCAAAGTGAACATCCATGACAACAGGTCACAGGAGAGGTTACAGGTTAGCTTTAAAGCTCGAGGGAGGACAAGTCTGCACCAGTTCAAAGTCAGTAATTTGCACTTTAATACAGGAATAAAATGAATATAGAGAATAGAATGAAGTTACAGACGTTAATGTCTCAAATTTTCCTGATATTTCTGGGTTTGTTTTTTCTGCCTTTATTCAACAGGATAGCTTTAGTGTGAAAGGGAGGTTCAGCTCATTTTCAAGTGTGTTAATTTCAATTGTCCCTCATATTTGAAACAGTTTTTGACCCTGTATAATTCCTCATATTCACTTAGACATAATCCCTTTTTCTTTGTCCCCAGGATTTTCAAAGCAGTTAGACTAAGGTCGTTCCGATCCAAAGCTCCATCTGACTGGAATAATCTTCCACTTTTCTTGAGATCTGTCACCTCTTGAAAATGAGATGCTACATCTCAAGGGGCTATCCTTTGTAGAAAATTCACATTCAGGGTTCAACGCTAAGGTTTTTTTTCACTTGCCCGGTCGGGCAAGTTGGTCAGAGATCTACTTGCCCGAAGTCAGTTTTTACTTGCCCTGTAAAAATTGTTTAATTTAAGCGGCTATCAAATAACAAAGACTGCAGTTATTTTTATGGTATGTAATCTTTATTCACACTGTATTTATTAAATAAAACAACATATGTCATGTATTGTAGCTTAATTCCTACACAAAAATGACAATGTCAGGGCTTAAAAGTGAAAAATTTGTCAATCGTTCTCTGTTTATAATTTTGCGCCCTACTTAAGCCATACCCACCTCTATTTATTTTTCACCCCTCTCTCCAGTTCTGCTGTATTAACACCGGGTTTAATATATTTTGCTTCCATCTCTCTGCCCTGCTCTCTACTCTACTTCAACGCTACTTAGCTCTCTCTCTACTCTACCAGTAGACTACCACATCCACCTGTTGCACAAAACGCACACAGCAGTGTTTCCCCTAGGATGGAGTTGTAGCAGTGGAGGTGAAGCACACGCATGAAAAATAATTTTCACATGCGTGAAACTTTTTTGTATGCTTGCAAAGCACAGCCTGCTGGGATGTTTCTGTGTATCTACTGGCACCAGAAGGGCTCTTTAGGACTAAGTACATACAGTACATGTGTGCACAGTATGAGCAGGTGAAATGTCTGTCTAGCTTACATATGAGGTGTCTCAAGATTTAGGAACATACAATTTTATTGAATATAATAAAGTAAAAAGTCACTTGACATGCTGCTGTTTTGTGCTATGACCTATTTAAGTGTTGGAAGTTGTTATTTACGTGACAACGCCTGAACGCAACACAAGCTCAGCATGAGTGCCGTGCTGCGCTGCTGTGCGAGCAGCGTGTTTGTCTGTGCGTAACAGCAGTCTGTTGGTTATTTACACACTGTCCATTTCAATAACTTTGTCAGCTGACAAACTGCACCGGGCTCGGGGTCAGGTTTGGTCAGGAAAATGCGGCCCGAGCCGCTCTAGCGTGCTCACCTGTGTGTGTGGCGGAACTCCGCCGTGCGCGATACAGAGAGCAGAGGAGAATTGTTAACGCGTGACCATGTAGAGACAGAAATGACACGATGGCATAACACCATAAATAGTATATTGTTATGTTATTATATGAAGCGTCCGTCGCGCAAAATAATATCAATGGGGGCTGTGGGCAGGACATTGTTACACAGCTGTGCATGTGACTTCAGGCAGAGAGACCGCTGCATCAGAGCAGAAGAGCACGTTTTAAAATACATTTATTTTATCAATTAGTTATTAACTTTAACTATTTTTAGCAACTTGACCGATAAGGCAAGTGAGTTGTTAGTTTACATGCCCGACCGTGAGTTTTACTTGCCCCGGGCAATCGGGCAAATAATTTTTTAAGCAATGGAGGGGGACTTATAATTTTCAATTTGACTTAGGGGAAGGGGAAGGATATCCAAATTAATACAAATGATGATTTTAAGAAAATACGTCTTTAAAGGAAACATTAGTGGTTTGACAGACATGTTTTCTTTAAAATCACCAAAATTACACCATTTGTTACAGACCCTTTAACTGTTAGTAAACAGTATGACGTTTTTGGTGGGCGGGGCTTAGCTGGAGGCAAAACAATCCTCCACAGACATTAGCAAGCACTAGCTGGTGAGTTCTGTTGTCTCGTTTAAGACAGTGGAGGAAGATGATGTGAGTGGTGCGTTCAGAAATACTCATTCTGAGTGTCAGAGCGCACTCTGACACAAACTGGACCGTTCAGCTTCGCAGCGCTGTCTGAATGCACCGTTGGGTTATTCAAGACCAAGACATTTTAAGACTCCTGTGTAGCCTACAGCCGTGTGGGGGAGAGGCAACTTCACCTCCAGGTAACAAAATGATGTCATTGTGACGTCATGCCTTAAAGGGTCTGTTACTTCAAAAGTCTGGTAACTAATTTAAGGTGGAGGGAGGGTGATGCATTTTCCTCCAGACACTCAGGGAGGCTCCAGGAAAAATATCTGTACCAAAATACTGAAGTCACACCGCAGCCCCCCCCCCCCCCCCCCCCCCCCCCCCCCCCGATAAGTAACGAACAGTCCCTAATATTAATTTGGTTCATCACTGCCCTCTGCCCCATCACCTGCTGGTTTCAGGTCTCTGCAGTGGACTAAGGGGCTGCTGATACTGAGGGTACAGCTCAGAGGTGTGTGTGTGTGTGTGTGTGTGTCGGTGTGTCTCACCATGACGGTGGCGATGATGGAGATGAGAGCATCGCTGTAGGCCAGCAGTCTGTGGGAGGACTGGGTGCCGCTGTGGCCCTCTCTGTCGGACGGAGTGACGCTCTCCAGGAACGAGGAGGAGGAGGCTGCGTGGCTCCTCGTGCCCTTCTTCTCCATCTCCTCCTCCACGTGGTGCTCTATGATTTCGCTGTCGTCGTTCCCACCCATGGTGGAGGAGCTACAGGGGCGCAGAGGACGAGGACGGGACCATGGACCCGGCGGACGGAACTGTTTGCAAACAACCGTGTGACAGCTGACTGAGGGCGGGGAAACCGGAAGCAGCTGCACGGCTGTCTTCCTGTTGTCAGCAGAGATCGTTGATTAAAAAACAGAGCACTCACTCCGCTGTTATTTTTGGGTTTTTTTTAATTTTATTTTAATTTTATTACTTTTTACGAGGGTTTATTATTGTTATTATTATTGTTATAACCGTACTATTATTACAATTATTATTATTTTTATTATTATCATTTTTATTATTGTTATTATTAGCCTATCATTATTTATTTTTTAAAGTGTGTTTTTCAGAAGTTTAAGCTGTTGTAATTTTGGTTCATACAATTAATTGTTTATCACTTTATGATAACCATAAATAATAAATTATATTTAAACTCTAGGAAATAGTTATTTTACCGTTAATAACCAATTAAATAATAATAAATGAAGCTTTCTAATTTATTTAATACTAAAACTGATTTTATTTTAATGGTTTATTTTTGCATATATTACAGAATTGTATATACTATATTAAGTATTTGCTCATGCTTAAAAATAGGTTTGTAAATTGTCTATAAACATTATTTGAATGGCTATAAAGTCGCAACTATTGATTATAATCCCTTGTTAAATGGTTAGTAATGAATATTGTGTAGTGCAACTATAAACATTGTTTGGGTGACCAATATACAGTAAAGTCACAGTGTGTATAGATGTACTACACAGTCCTATTTATTATACATTTTTTGGCAATCAATTTTGACTATTAAGTTCCTGGGTAAAGGGTCAGAGTGAGACCTCTGTAGTTTCTATCTTCTCTGTAATGAGTGTACTTGGATACATGAAGAATGTAAAGCTGATTTAATGCAGCTCAGTAAGAAGCATTGAGTCTCCAATAGGCCTTGTTGGCTGACAAAAGCATGTATAAATAATATGACCATAAACAGAATGCTGATGAGGGATGTTGCAACTAATAATTAAATGAAATGTGATTTAATTAGCAGTGGTGTCTCATGAGAAGAACTGGTGTTAACACTGTACAAAACTGTAACTCACTACAGAGAAAGAGGAGAAACTGGGATTGGTGCAGAGTGAAATCATACCTCACTCCTGCCACTGGGGGGCAGTGCAGGTGTTTTTTTGTGTGTGTGTGTGTGTGTGTGTGTGTGTGTATTGAATATATGTCATGGTCATAATCAGAGGGTTTTGTTTTGTTTTATTTATTTTTTGGTTTAATTAACAAACTTACTTACATATCTTCGTACATTTACTCGAGTACTGTACTGTACGGTAGTTAAGTACAACTTTGACATATTTGTACATTGAGTATTTCCTTTTTATGATACTTTATACTCAGACTCCACTTCATCCCAGAGGGAAATATTATGCTTTTTACTCATTATATTTGGCACTGATAGTTACTTTTTTGCAGGGAAACACACACACAGGATATAAGATACAATGCAGTACTACACTATTAATGTATCCAATATTATAATAATAAAATATTCTATAATATCTTAATACTTAAAAAGGAACCATTCTGTATAATGTGTACTTTGACTTTTCATACTTTATGTATGCTTTTGCTGGTAATACATCTGTAATTTTAGTTAAGTAAGGTATTGAATTCAGGACTAACTTGTAATGGAGTATATTTACACTATGTTATTTCTAGTTTTACTTAAGTAAAGTATCTGAATACTTTTCTCACAGCTGCACAAATGCCACTGCGCGTCCATATTTCTACAATCTGACAGGAAGCTAAAGTTAAAGTTCCTAAATAATTATAAATAGCCTACTGCACAACAACAACATATTCATGAATGCTAATTTAGAACTTTTTTTAATGTTGTCAACACACAACAACCTTCGGAGAATGTTTTTCCTGTTGGTGCTCTGGTGGAAGTGGATCAGTGTGGATGAATGAAAAATGAAAACAGTAAGTTGATTTAGGGTGGTAACACGTTACATGACAGTGTAAATGTAACGTGTAGTGTGTTATATTACTTTGTTAGAGTAAAGAAGTAAAGAGTGGATAAAGAGTACATAAAGAGTAACTACTAACTAGTATACCGTAAGGGCCCGTCATAATAGCGTGCACTGGGGCCCGTTGTAACTACCTTACGCCATTGCCTGGAACACAATGTTACTGCATGATGTAAAAATCAATAGTTGATTCTGTAACTGCGATTTTATTGTTTGAATATTGTGTTTTAATTATTAATTATTATTATCTTGTAAATGAACTGGAAGCAACAGTCTATACACGGAAGTTTGCAATGTCAAGTTCGGCGCTGATTGGCTGTTGCCCCGCTGTAATCTGATTGGCTGCTTGTTACGTCCTTACGTCACGATTAGCGCGTAGTTGACAGCTCAGCGCAGAGCCGTTGAGCTCCAGTAATTCTCGGTATGGCTGCCTTAAAAATGCGGATTATCTTGTACAGCGGACATTTAAAAATTTGTTTAATGAATTAAAACTTTAGATTAAACACTTTTGTGTTCAACAAACCAAACTAAACCAAACTTCCGGTAAAAATAATCCGATTTAAATCCAGGTGGTTCTCCAGGTAAAATGGCTAACTGCTAGCTTGTCAGAGAGCTAGCTGAGCTTTCTGTTCTTGTTTCCTTGTGTGTATTTCGCTGAGGACGTTACCTGCCAGTCAGGAACAGACTTAAAGGATATCAGGCATCTTTCTAAAAGGATGACCAAACATTAAAACAGCGGGATATGGCAGTGAAACTGAGAATGGAGCATTGTAACATCACACTGTGGAGAACAGGTATGTGTCCTGTCAGATTATCACCTGTGTTACACTGTGTGTGACGTGAAATATCAAAGTGTGTAATGTTCTGGTGTAACATCTGTCCAGTGTAGTTGTTGCCCCATCATTTCCCCCACCACCAGTGTATATGTATGTACTATGGTTGTGTTTATATTTATTTTATTGAGAAAGAGACAGTGCATATTAATGAACATGATCTCTTAAGTCTCGTAAATGTGCCAGATTTAGCCATACAGGCTCATTTTCATCTGCAGTCCCTGGCAGGTTGATGGTTTGTGTATATAATAAAAAGACAATATAACATACAAAAGCACAGAGCAAGCATATACATTTAAATGTCCATATTTTGTATTTATTTAACAGCAGATTTTATTTTAAGAAAACATGCATGTTACTTAAAAAAATATTTACTTTTATTTATTTAACATTGCTTCACTTTAAATACTTTAGCTTTAAATACTTTGACTGTAGCTTCCCCAGCTCTGTCAGTGATGCAGACTATGTTATTATAACGTTGTTTAATTTAAATAGTGCAGATTAGACATGTGAAGCACTCTTCTGCCTCTAGAGGGTGACATCATACTGTATCTGCCAGAAAGCTCTTTTCAGTGTGAGAACTCAACTTGTTGTCCTGTAACTCAGGAGAACAGTGGCTCCCAATCTTCTCATTAAAGGAAAAGATTTGGAGCCATTTGAAATCTGTACAGTGTTTTTTTTTTGCCTGTCATCCACATCACATCCACTGGTAACTGATTTTTATAATCAGTTACCAGTGGATGTGTAGCGTTGTTTCTGACTCGTGAGCCAAATTTCCAATAACTACAGAGCGCTGTAAAGTCCAAAAGTCAAAATTTATTGAAGTAGACAGATGTAATTGTTTCCAGAATTCACAACATGTCTTTCTCTAAAAAAATGTTCTGCTTCAATCCATATTTGTCGGTGTTTAGCCTTTCAAAATTAAAGGGGTGGTCTAACAGCAATCTAACAGCGCCATAAATTACAGTTATTCATATGAGAAAGTGGATTTAATAAAACTAAAGACAAACTAATTTAATGTATTCATTTTGGGGATTTTGTTTGAGGACTTTTTATTTTTATTTAGGTTGATGATGTCATAAAATATGAGGACAGGCAGGTGTAGCTTCATTCAAAAACCTGAGAAGCTTCATATGTAAAATAATAACACTGGGTAATCCTAGACACTGACACGATTATTACCAGGCAGTAAGGTCTCTGAATATAGCTTTTAATACCAGCGACCAGATTTGTTCTCTTTGCTTCGTCCCGTCTTGTGTTGACACTCTGTTGCTGGCTCTGTCTGCCTCAGGAGCACCACAGTGGCGCTGTGAGCGAGGGTTCAGGGACAGAGGGGCAAAGCCTGGGGCGAGTCAGGATCCTTCAGTCTGGCTCCAGTCCCGGTGTTTCTCCACCGGTCTTATTCAACCCAGGTTCGACCAGTGCAGCCAGTGCCTTGGGCAACACTTTGGGCTGTCTCTCCTAATGATGTCTCTGCATCCTGGGGTCCTCCTCCATGAACCCTGCTCATGCAAATTAGTGCCAGATCTCTGCCTCTGTTGCATCAGGTTAATCAGGCAGCCATTTTGAAACAAAATTTTAGCAGCAAAATGACCGTGGTACAGCTGCAGGGGGTTGATCTGAGCTAAAGCTTGAGCTTAGTGGAGATTAACTACACTGAGATGGGGATGTAATGGGAGGGAATTTGTACTGTCACCTTGTACAGAAGCATCAACACCTCAATGCTATAATGAAGAAGGGAATCAGTGGAAAACTGAGGGGATAAAACCAAATATCAGCCTGTGTATAGCTGAGTTGGGAGCAGCTGAGCAAAATGAAAACCTCAACCTAAAATGTAGGGATGGATATTTACACATAGCACAGACAGAGTAACATCAGCATTCATATGTGATCATGCTTCTGGTGACCTGATGAATCTAAATGCAATATTCACTCTACTTTTAGCTCTGGTTCTTCACTACTTCCTGGTTCTTTAGTCGTTAACTTTTCAGCATGCGAAGGTCTGAGGCAGGGTCTTCATTTAGAATCTTTGTGGTCTGAGAGTATAAGCTCTTCAGGTCTGGATCTTTGATGATTCTCCTGGCCTTATTTTTGCTGCGCCTGGCGTAAACATCCCTAAGGAAGAGTAGAGCAGTGCCTGTAGTATGTTCAGTTGAACGAACCACTCTTTGTAGGGCGGAGCTGAGGAGGGGAGGGTTGTGTTAAATGATCAGTAGGGTCAGTGTGATTGG